AGGGTTTAGGGTTAAGGGCCTTAAAGCTTCGGCGGTGAAAGTTTAATACAATGGCCTTAACAGTTACCTACACTCCTTGGGGGGTTTCTTATTGTAATTGTAGTGTACCATACCCCAAAACCCTATTCTCATTATTAAGCACCCTATACTGGCGTTTTAGGGTCTAAACCCTAAACCCTAAACCCTAAACCCCAAACCCGAAACCCATAAACCCTAAACCCTTAGGGTGTGGGGATTTCGGGATAGGGGTGCCAAACTCTCAGACTCTCACACCTGCCTGAACTGCAGATCCGAAGAAGCTAGGAAGAATATCACCCTCTCGTCTCTGTGTACTGTCTAGTATCTCATACCCCCCCAACACAGTTCGAATGATCAAGGCCCGGTATCACGACAAAATGTTTGAGAAAAAGTTGGGCAAGTCTGAAAACAACAGCAAAAAAGCGATTTCCTGCCAACACAGGAGCTCGTGGCTGTGCGGGCTTGTTTCCTGACGATCCGCTGTGCCCCACACCTGCACCGAGAGCGCCTTGATGGGTTTCGATTCTGCACACCCTCAGAGGCCCTGCAACCGGTTTAGGGCTTAGGGTTCAGGGTAGCTCACACTGTGGTCAAGCTCATAATGCGGATTTGCGCTGCAGCGGGCTCCACACAGCTGAACTTACGCTTTATAGAGGTTCTTAGACTTCGGGTTTTCAAGTTTATCCTCGAGTTTGTAGGCTTCTCGGCGGATGTAGGGATGAGTTAGGAGGCTGCCTGGGATTAGACTGGTTTGGTGTGGTCATTTAGGATTCAGGGGTTTAGGGCGTTTAAGGTTTAGGGTTGTTCATTTAGGCTTCAGGGGCTCATGTAGGGTTTAGCACATGCTTTTGGGCTTGGGGTCAAGGAATCCTCAAGCAGTGCTCTACATGCTTCCCCCGGTGCACCTTTCCGAATTCGTTACACCTCAATTGGCCCCAGAAGCCCAGATATCTGTTTTATGTTTTGTTGCTCTACTGCTACAGAGGGGCTTATATAGAGAGACGCAAGACGGCCACCAAGATGTCTAGGTCCATACTGCCTATTCCGAACTGCTCTCCTTCATAGCAGCCCTGCAGCTTAAGGCGAAGCAGTACTTGGGCTTCATTTCCGAGCGTCTATTGCGGGCCAAGGTGCGCCGAACAGCTAATTTGAGGAGGTTTGAAAACAAGGTTCGCTTGTTTCGTTGTTATACCGAGCTTACGGATTTAAGGTGCCAAGCTATCCTTCGACTCCCTGGTGTCGTACATGAGCTATATTCGTCCACAAGCTCTGTCCTACTCGGATCATCGCAGCACTTGCATTCAATCAGCTGGGGTTTTCAGACTCATGGGTTCAAGATTAATCTAGGGGCCTTAATAATTAGAATAGGGTTTTGGGGCCCTTTGTACTCCGAAACCCCAAAACGCTATTTTAAATGTGAGCGTTAAGGCCCCTACATTAATTCAGGCCCTGCTACTTGGGCCTCAACTACTGACGCCGATTGCAAGATTCGAGTTTCCTGGTAGTCGGGTGCCTCTTGTGCCCCTGGAACAGCTTTTGCCCCGTATCAAGCCATGTATGGCGATATCTAGTACGAAGTGCGCATCTAGAGGCATTCCTTGTAAACACTTCAGAGAAATTCATCAACCATCATCGAAACCTAGCAGGCCCTAAGCCCTACTTATGAGTCCTCAATCAGGGACGTATCTGTAGGAAGCTTCAAGATACCCTGTAAAGCAGTGTTTTTGAAGGGAGTTGCGCAAACCTATAGAGGAACCCACAGGCTCTATAAGCCCCGTAGGTACCGCAAAACCTTGCAGCCCAAAGCCGTAAACTTGGTTTCGGGTTTAGGGATTTAGGGTTTAGGGTTTGAGAGGGAACAAAAAGCCTTAGACTGTCAAACTTTACACTTTGAATCGCCTTGCAGGAACTCCTGGACCCTGGTCGGAGCACAGGCTCTTTGGGGGACTCAAAAAGTTTGGGCTAGCGAAGGTTTGGGGATGGAGTTTTGGAGCTTTGTAGGGTTTAGGGGTTTTTCCTTCAAACAGGGGCCTGAACACTTACTCGTACGATTTCCTGGAGTTCCTTATTATACATAAACTTTCGTCTACTCCCTGAACCCCATCCATAAGTACCCATTCCTAGCGTTGAGGGCCTAGGAGGCCGTATGTCCCTCTAAACCCACAACGCTAAGACCCTAAACCCCTAAACCCTAAACCAAACTTTAGCTTCGGGCTAGGGGGTTGGGCCTTGGTGTCGGATGTTGGACGTCTTCGGATTTGAGTTTAGGGCTTTTGGTTTTGGGGCTTATAGGTCTTGGCCAGTAGATGAAGCGCCGCATTCCTGAGATCTTAATATAGAAGCCTAGTTATAAATAAATACCAATATTATTGTTAGGGTTCCTGATTATGAGTATGCTATAGCGGGGCCCAAACCCTATTCTAAGTACTAAAGCCCCTACACTACATCTTAGACCGTGCCTGTCGCTGTTCAAACACGCCAGCTGAGCCCTATCCTAAACCCTAAACCCTAAAACCTATCATCGACCCGAAAGCTCCAAAAGTCGAAGCCTAATATATATATATATATATATGGTATATGGGGCCTCAAAACCCTATTCTAATCATGAAGGCCCCTACATTAACTGCTAGACCCCAACACCCAAAGTCAAAAAATATACAATAAGCAAGCCCAGAAAGATGAAACTCCCTAGACGAAAGCCTCAGAACCCTTAATCTAGGGTTGACACGATGGGCCCCTAGTATGGGCCCTTAACCCTGGGATCCCTGTACACCTACTATATACCTTAAATATGTACCCTTAAGGGTCCCCAAAAAGGCCTAAGAGTCCAGATTAGAAGCCCATACTTTTAACCTTAGACTTAAAGCATAGCAAAGAGGCGATGCCGTGCCAGAGGACGACGGGCCCTTGGAGCCAGAGAAAGCTGGGCAGCTGTCGAAGCTGTTTTTCGGCTGAGAGAAGTCGGATGAATCGGGGCTTACTGTAGGGGCCTTAGTAAGTGGAATAGGGTTTTGAGGCCCCTTATACCATAATCATAATACGGAACCACCCAAAAAAATATCATAGATGGTTATTTCGGCCCGTACATTATGTAAAAATAGGTGAGGGCTCCTGTCATCATACTATACTACTGTTGGTGATATGAATCCTGCATTGCCACAAGGACCTTAAACTAATGGAATTCTTGTAAATGCCGTATTATGGGTAATGCACAGGATTTGAAATATCATCAACCCTATGTTGCAATGCTCAGGGCCCCTTGCATTGTGGTACTACGAGCTCGTGTAGGGGTTCTTGAAAGGCTGCAACTATAGAAAGCTCTATACTCTGAGCGTTCTGGAAGGGCTCGGGGAATTCTGTGTGGATTCAAAAGGTTCCCTTCCCTAAAGATTAGGGGCTTCTGGTTTATAGAAGCCTTCTAGAGGGGTCCTCATATGGGTGGTTCATTAGGGTCCCTTTTTAGGTTCCCGAAATAGTAGGGAACCCTTACAAAAAGGACCCTAAAAGGGACCCTAATTCAGAAAACTACCTATACCCTAAACCCTAAACCCTAAACCCCTTAACCCTAAACCTCTAAACCCTAATCCCTGGGTGCTCATATGGGTTTTTGTTTGCGGCTTTGTCGTTGTTAGCGACTTCGGGGCTTCTGGGGTTTTGCGAGTTTAGGGTTTAGGGTTTAGGGTTTAGGGTTTAGGGTTTAGGGTAAGAAGCATCAACAAGCTGTCTGATGTAGGGGCATACGTGCCCATAGGCCCTAAAGTCGTGCCTTTTGGGGGTTACCTTAGAGGATTCTATATATGAACCCCCAAAAGGAACTACTTTAGGGCCTATGGGTAGTTACCCATACTATTTTGGGGTCTTCTTCGTATAGCTATAGTATAATGGGCCCCAAAATCCTATTCTGATTATTAAAGCTCCTATATTAAAGGGGGTTTCTCCTCGTAAGCCCTGAACTTTACACAGCTTCACCCCCGGGCTATTTTGGGGTCTCCTTCTTATAGCTATAGTATGGTGGGCCCCAAAAGCCTATTCTAATTATTAAGGCCTTTACCCCCGGGCCTGCCAGGCTGTACCATGCCCACCACAAGCTCTTTGAGCTCAACCGCATACTTGAGGGAGGCCTCTCGCAAGTAGACCCTAAACCCCTAAACCC